TAAATATAAGGAAAAGAAATCTATAATACAGAAAATACAGATCTCTTATTATATTAGAAGGTATTCTCTCTAATATATATAATATCTATGAATAAAATAAATTAAAATGTCCATATGAATATCATTATAATTTTGAAAAATAATATTACTTCCTACATTTTAAATCTGGTTCCAATAAAGGGGTGTCCTTGGTTTTCATTTGGTTAGAGGCAGGAGTTGTATTTTAAATAATATAAGTAATATAGAAATGTGGATCTTAAGATAGAAATATGTAATAAATATATAAAGAGAAATTGCTAAAATATGAATATAAATTTACATATAAATATGTGTAAGTAATATGAAGAGTTGTAGTGTAGAATATAAATAACATTATATGGCAATATAAATTATAAATGGGAATATAAATATAAAAATATGTAAATATAGCTTAAAAGAAAGGGAATGTTTTGGCTTTTATTTAAGTAGAGGCAGGGGTTTTATTTTGAATATTGTAAGTGTTCCAGAAGTAAAAATCCTGACGCAGAAATGTTTAATCAATATAAAAAATATGAATAAAAATATATAAAAATTCATAAATAACTACTCGCATCAGATGTATTATAGAATACAAATTTATTTATAACTTGACATTGGTATAGATAAATGTATAAGTAAGCAATATACATTAATATGCATTATAAATACAAATATGAATATAAAAATTGAATATAAGGATAAAATCTATTTAAATATTGTTTGCAACAAAGGCTTGGGGGTTTTTTTATTCCTATTGTGTTAGAGGCAGGGTTTTTATTTTAAATAATATGAATGTAGATATTATTGTTATTTATTTCTAAATATGGAGATATACAATCGAGATATAAATATATATATAAAAACACAAAATATAAAGAAATACAAATAATAGGAAGAGATGTAATGAAGAATACAAATAACAGTATACATAAGTGTACATTTTAAATGTAAATATGAATATGAACCTGAAAACTAGAATTTTAAAAAATATTTAAATACAGTTGAGAAGAAAGGGGTTCTTTTTGGCTTTAATGTGGATGGAGGCAAAGGTTTTATTTTAAATAATGCAAGTGTTACAGAAGTAAAAATCGTAACAGAAATATATACTTACCATGTAAAAATATGTATAACAATATACAAATAAATTTAAGTTTTAGGGATATATGCAATATGGAATAGAAATGTATTTATAAAAAGAAATGTATAAATGGACAGTGTACATCAATATACATTGTAAATAGAAATGTGAATATTAATAGGAAAAAACTTTTTAAAAAATATTTAAATATTTTTTAAAAGAAATAGTTGTTTTTTTGGGTTTTTTTTGTGTGTTGTGTTTTGTTTTGTCTTTTATCCTTTTAGATTAGAGGCAGAAGTTTATTTTTCCTCTTCCCCGTTGTTTTGGGGCATTTATTTCAGAGCAGTTTTCGGCGGGGGCCGCCCCTGTTCTTTTTCGCCGCCTTCCCTGCCCGCAGCCCCGAGGCGCGCTGCGCCCCCGGCTGGGGCGTGCGGCAGTGCTGCCGCCTTGTGGGCAGAGCGCTGTACTGCAGCCCTGCACCGAGAGGCCGCCACCTTGGGAGTGGCGCGTCGTGGATGTCGCGGACTTTTAATTGACCTTCTCATCATGGCGGCGAAAAGGGCGGGGAAGTGGAGGACCGGGGTTGGTCTAAGTGGACTGCCTGCACAGAATACTGACGTCATGGCGGCTCCGACGGATTTTTCTGCGGCGTTTCATGTGTACCCGACACACGGTGTGGGCTCAGCGGCGCCGCGGGCGGGGTAGTTTGGCGGGTTTGTGCCAGGCATGTGGGTTAAACGCCTCGCTGTGCCGGGGTCCTCTGACGGCCGCTTTCGCGCCCTGAGGGAGCCGAGCCGGGCCGAATTGTTCCGAAGAGCCGAAGAGCCGAGGGTGGCCGAAAACAGCTGAGTTTGCCCGAAGAGCCGAGGGAAGCCGGAAATAGCCGAGTTTACCCGAAGAGCCGAGGGTGGCCGAAAACAGCCGAGTTTACCCGAAGAGCCGAGGGTGGCCGAAAACAGCCGACTTGAACCGAAGAGCCCAGGGCGGCCCAAAATAGCCCAGTTTACACCAAGAGACCATGATAGCCAACTGGAACCGATAGCCGAGTGTAGCCGACACTGGCCGCATTTAGACAATGTGCCCAATATGACCGAGTTTAGTCGAACCGTGCCGAGTTCGGCCGAAGAGCCGTACTGAAACGAGTTTAGACCAAGAGCCGAACCAAGCCGAATTCAGCCGAGTTTCATTAAACAGAACCGAACAACGCCGCAGGGCTCTGCCTGCAGTGCGCCTGTGCAGGCGGCAGGGATTGCTGTGCCTGCAGTGCTCCGAGGCAGACGGCAGGGGGCGCTGTCCCTGCAGTGCGCCTGTGCAGACGGCAGGGATCGCTGTGCCTGCAGTGCTCCGGGACAGACGGCAGGGGGCGCTGTATAAAGTAAGTAGACAATATCAACTCTCTATAAGAAGGAATAAAAGCTCTATGTCACGTGCAGCAGTAGAAAATTTCAGGCTCCCAGGGAATAAATAGTTTTCTTTAAATCCTTTTCGTTCTGGAGTTTTTTTTTTTACTCCCAGGTAGCCTGATAGTTTCTACTGCTGTTTTTTTATTCTAAAGCTAGAAAGGTAAACCAAGATCAGAAATACAAGAAAGGGAAAGGGAAAGGGAAGGGAAGGGAAAGGAAAGGAAAGGAAAGGAAAGGAAAGGAAAGGAAAGGAAAGGAAAGGAAAGGAAAGGAAAGGAAAGGAAAGGAAAGGAAAGGAAAGGAAGCAGGAGAGCAAGAGGGAAGGGAAGGGGTGAAAAACAGAGTGAAAAAAGAAAAAAGAGTTGGAGGGGGAAAGAGAAGGCATTCGGAAGGAGCGGTGCTGCCGCAGGTCCTTCCCCGCCCAGGGGTGAAGGTCCCGTGTGATGCCCGGGAGGTTCTGCAGCTCCCGGCGGCGGGGGACGGAGCCGTGGCTGTCAGCCCGAGACTACAACTCCCGGCAGGCCTTGCTGCCGGCGCGGCGCGTGACGCAACGGCTGACGCGGCACATGAGTGGCTGGCGGGCCAGGCGGCCGCGCGGGGCTGTGCGCGGGCCGCTCCCGGCGCCTCTCCCGCGCGTGACGGCGACGCTGGACGGGCGAAGCCTCCGTCCGGCCGCCCGCACGGCGCCGAGCAGCGCGGAAGGAGCGTCCGCGGGGTTCCTCGGCCTCACTCGGCGGTGCCGGGGGCGGGGGGCGGGGCGGTGCTTTGCTGCCGCGGGCCGGGAGCTGCAGGAGCCGCCCCGGGCGAGCACGGCGAGCACCTGTGAGTGTTTTTTTTTTCCTCTAAATCGGGAGTAAATATAGCTGAGTAAAATTAGCTTGGTTTTCTTCCTTCTTTTTTAACTGAATTGTTTTTATTAAAAATCCTATTTGAATGTGTAGAAAAAGTGGGGATGTCCTGTAATATATTGTAGCTTTTCTTGTTTACAGGGTACTCAGAAAATACGTCTCCCTTAGAGTCCCACAGAAAGGTTCTCAGTGCAATCTCTGTCAAGGTATGTATTTCCAAAGAAGTGATCCCTTTAGATATTTGCCTGTGTACCTTTTCCTGTTATTCAGAGCTTGCCTTCTGTGGGTTTTATGATAAACCTGTAAAACCGGTTTTGCAAGTCTTAATCGTTGAAGGCAGCATAGAGCCTGTTCTTGACCAGACAAAGGGAAAAAGTGTGACTTTGAGGCTGAACTTGTCATTTTTCATTTGACTTGTCTTGAATTATTTAAGAATAGAGAGAACTAGAAAAAGAGAGAAATAGAATTGGTTATTGAGCACTCCCCAAATGCTCACCATGATTCAGTGTAGAGCCACAGGGCAGGGTGATGGAAAGGGCTCTATGCTTTAGAAGGAAATAAATTTAAACCTGACCTCCACAGAGTCTCACTAACTTCTGTTGTTTGAAAATACAAAATACGTTCAGGAAGTGTTGGAAGTTAGTATTTTGGGAAAGAAATGGCAGTTCCACAGAACATTCCATTTAACAGTAAATTGGAGGAGAGCCCAAGAGAAATTTTTCATCCCTTGATAGAAAAGGTAGGAAGTGACTTTTTTTGGTTTGGTTCTTTTTTCTTTATTATTTTCTGGAAATAAAAGTAATTAAGTATAGGTACTACTGGTCTGTTTCTTCCAGTAACAGGTGATAATAATAGTAGTAGTAATAATAAAAATAATAATAGAAATAATAATAACAGTAATGTAATACTAGTTAAACAGTCTTTATCCATTGAACTGGCCATTTCAAATCAAAACTTCTAAACACAAATCAAACCATCATCCTTGTAGAATCTTTCACAGCAGTGGGCTAAAGATCCTGGTTTTGTTGACAGGATTTATTGGTTCTGGAAGAACAAGAGGGAAGTAGAAGCCTAACTACTTCTAGCTCACAGACCTGTCCAGTGAACAGAGCTTTGTATTTTGATGGGCTTGTGATGACTTTGAAATCAATTGGTCATTACAGTAAAAAAAATTAATGTTTTTTTGAACGTGACAGCAGAAATAACTTTAAGCACCAACTTAATAATAATAGATCACCAATTTAAGTTAAAAATTCATGCTATACTATCAAAATTTAAAGGTAAGTGATTATGTATTAGGTGATGGTATAAAGTGTATGTTCTAATGTGTAGGATGTATGCAAAGATACATACATACCTGAAAGTCCTTAGAGGAAACAAATTTTTATGTTTGCTGTCTGACTGTTTATCATACAATATTTGGTTTTATTTCGCAGGGATCGGTGAATTTTAACTTTGGAGTCCTCTATGCTAAGGATGCTCAGCCTGCAGATGATGAAATGTTCAGTAATGGTGAGTTTTTCACTTTCTCTTTAATTGCTATGCTGATCTGAATAAGAAAAAAACAAAAACAAGAGAAAAAAAAAGGATGGTTTATTATTTTTTACACTGTTATGTTTGTTTCCTCAGTATTTGCTGCAGCTCTGCTTACCCAAGCTTTGGGTTCCTTCTGTCCCACAGGGAGTTGCCCTGTTTGGTTGCATCTGGTGAAATTCACCCTGAGACCTTACAGAAGTAGCTCAAACTACGTGAGAGCCATTTGCAGTTCCCTCCACACACCTGGAGAATGGGTGACGTTTCTGAGGATGTGGCAACTGTACTTCTATCAAAACTCAGTCTGTGAAATTTCTGGGGAAAACTCTTCGGTGACCTGAAGGGTTCAAACTCTGGTGAGAATCCAGTTATCAGGTGCTCACCTGGATGGTTCCAGCTCTTAAAGTGAACACTTGTACTCTTGCCCTGTAGTTTACATCCATTGTATTTTTGTTATTTTGCAAGATTTTATGTCTTTGCAAAATATCGTGCATTTCGCTCTTTGGAACCTCTCAGATTGTTCTTTGGTGTAGCACCACCTCACGGGACACTTGGCTGCCGTCCTGAAGGGGATGCTCGCTAGAATTGTAAATTCTGGAGAGTTTGTAAGTCTTCTGTCCCCAGGGAGCTATCATGCTTTGTTTACTTTTGTTCTGTTGGTTAGGCGCTGCTTCTCATTGCAAGTATGAATTTCAAACTACCCTGTTCTCTTTTTAACTGTTTTCCTGGTTCTCTCCGTACGGCAGGGAAAGACTCTCGTATCCTTGTCTTCAGGCTCGGTGCTGTCCACGAAGATACGGAGACTAAAAAAATCATAAGAAGCAAAATATGACTGCAGGGAAAACAAGCTGGAGAGAACAAAAGGTGATATTGTTATCCTTACCCTGTATTAGAAACATCCAATGTGCTTTGATGCTGGCAGCTGCCAGGGGCTTGTTAGCTCTTTGTAGGCAGGTGTAGGTGTTCGCTTGTAGGTTTTTTCTCTGGACAAGTCAATTCAAACTTTGCTAAGCTTATATTTGCAGATTACTCTCTAGCACAGTCCAGCATGACATTTTTGAATGCTGTAAAAAAAACATGTTACTTGGAAATTGCTAATGATGAGAAGCTATAGGGGAAAATAAGATTTCAGGGTTGGGAGACGTGAGAAGAATTTTGTGGGGATGTTAGACTGAAGTAAAGCACACTTTAGGCTGGACTGGCACGCTGGCAGGTCCCCTATTAAACAGTAGTGCTTAGATTAGCCTGGGGGTTGCCCATTGTTTCTGTAGAAATCAGTGTTTCCTGGTCTTCAGAAGTAAGCTGCTTTGAAAAGCTGGAAGGTGCAGCATGGTGACAATCCGTGTGCTCTGGATTAAAAGTAGATTTCAGAAGGGTCCTAGGCTTTTGTCTTTTCCTAGAAGCCGATGTAATCCTATTGAGGAGTTTTTAATTCTGTGCTGCCACGTCATCGGTCAGGGCCCTGTTGTACTAATCATCATACAGATACAAAACAAAAAATCGGACCCCGTCCCAACCACTTAGAGCCCAGAACACGATTTCCTCGGGCTGCCATTTGTGTGCCATCGGCACTCACCATGGAAGCGAGCTGGGGATTGTTGCAGCTGCTGGGAACAAACCGCTCCTCGTCACACAGGAACGGAACTGGGACGACGCCTCGGCCAGCCCCTCTCTGCCATCGTCTCCTGAATCTGCAGCAGAGCAGTTCCGGTCCATCCGGGCACGTGTAATCCAGTTCCTGATGATCTGAGCGCACGGAGCAGCGCTCCGCTGCTGTGGGGGGCTCAGGGAAGGCAGAGTGTGCATTGTCATCTTCCTGAACCTGCAGACGAATCCAAGTGAGAAGCCACAGGGTGGAAATCAGTCGCATATATGCTAAACGAAACTTGCAGGTTTTTTTTAAGAATTGTTTCTGCTTGTTCTTTTTTGTGCTTCAGTGCTTCGAAAACCTCTCTTTAAAATCAGTTCAATTCATCAGTTGAACCTTTGTTTGCAGACCCTCAGTGAGCAGAATTTGTTGCAGACTCAGTGCACGCTGTGCCGGCCTCCCGGGAGTGTGAGGGGCTCACGTGTGCTACTTTTTGCTTACAAGGTATGACATGAGGAAAAAGCCTGTCTGGTTGGAACGTTGTTGCTGTCAAAAGTTAATTTTTCCTTCTTTCTTAGCCAGTAGTTAGCTTTTTGCTTAATTTTTGTGGTATCATTATTTTATTGTTTAAAAAATGGCTTCAAAATCACTTTGGTGGTTGGTGTTGGCCACCAGTACCTTGTTCAGATTTGCCTATTTGCTTGTAGCTAAAATGTTCGCATCCTGTTTATCATTCTATTTAAGAAACTGCTGCCCAGCCAACTAATAACTGAATATCCATCTGTCTGGGACACGGGGAGAGGATTTAGGTAACGTCTTTGTTCCCAGGAAAAGGTTCCAGTGTAGTTTCTAAATAGAGGAGAAGGGGATGAAGACGCGGGGCTCTGATGCCGTATGGGCACCCCAAGGTCCCCAGGAGCGGGAGCCCCGCTGCAGTGCAGGAGCAGGTATGTTCTCATGTAATACTGAACAAATTATAAATATAAATATGACAATTTAAGCATGAAAATATTTTTAAAAATAGTTAAACAAAGTGGGTTTTTTCATTTGTCAATAGGCAGTGTTTTGATTGTAAAAATTATAACTACAAATAATATAAAGGGAGAAATCTAAGTATAGAAATATAAATATATACAGATATATATAAAATTTAAACCTATAAGAAAAAATTAGTTGTAGCAGTAGATGTGATACCTAATATAAATAATAACTTAGATACTTTCCTAGAATTTTATATATATTATATATAATTATGAATATAATGCATCAAAAGAAACTATAAATATAAATGTGAATATAATTATACAAAAGTATAAAAATATTTCAATATCGTTCAAAAGAAGGCTTTTTTTGTGTTTATTTGGTTAGAGACAGGGGTTTTATTTGGAATCATAGAAGTAGCAATCTAAATATAGAAATATACAGTCAATAAAGAAAGGTATTTATAAGAACACGACTGAACGACGCCGCCTTCAGCCGAATGGAACGAGCTCAGCCGAACCAAGGCGAGACCGGCCGAACCTGACGGGCTCGAGCGAACCGAGGCCAGGCTTGCGAGGCTGCCTGAACGGAGCCGAGCTCGGCCGAACCGAGCCCGCCGCTCTCGTGCGCGCTAATTAGCGCGAGTGCTAATTAGCACAGCCCAATGAGCTCCTGTGCCACCCCGCGCTCCCGGTCGTGTCGGTACGAAGGCCGGGCCGCCCGCGTGACGCGGCAGCAGGAGAGCCCCGAGCCGGGCGAGTTTAACGTGAGGCGGCGCCGCTTGCCCGCCCTCGGGGAGGCGAGCCGAGCCGACCTCAGCCGAACGCGCAGAGAGCGGCTCCGAGTTCGGCCGAAGCGAGCCGGAGGGACGAATGGAGCCGAATGCGGCCGTCAATAGCCGAGTTTAGCCGACAATAGCCGAGTTTAGCCGACAATAGCCGAGTTTAGCCGAAGAGCCGACTGGAGCCGAGTGACTCCGGAGCGAGCCGAGCTCCCCCGAGCGCAGCCTCCCGGGCAGGGCGAGGCGCCGGGCCGGGCTCGGGGTGCAGCCGGGGCTCTGTGAGGCTTCCCCGCCTGTCCCTCTCTCTCGCCCTCCTTCCTTCTCCCCGTATTCGCCTTCTCTCGCTCCCTTTCCCCCATTCCCTCTCCCCCCACAAGCCCGGCTCCTTCCTGTCCAGCCCCTTCCCCGCTACTCCCTTTCTCTTCCCCGTTTCTGCCTCCTCTGTCCACCCTCCCTCTACCCCCCTCCCGGGCTTTCCCTTCCCGTCCCGCTTTCCTGCACAGCCCGCCCTCCCTCGCCGCCCTTTGTCATGCCCTGCTCTCGCTCCTCTCTTCCGGTGCCCGCTTTCCTTCTTTGCCGCGCAGCCGCGGGGCTCGGGGTGCCGGAGAATGAAGGCCCGAGGGTATGGGGGTTCATCCGTGGTGCTGTTAACACAGTCAGAATGGCTCAGTGACTCTGTGCCAGGCTGGTGTGGCCTCAAAGGCTGCCCCTGCTGCTGGCAGAGTGTGTGAAGCGTCTGCTGAGCGGGCAGCGGCATCCCCCTGAACACCTTCTCGCAGCAGGGACGGAGATGGAGCCAGCCCAGCGCGTGGAAATGGATCTCTCCAGCTGAACGCTCAGGTGAAGCGAGCAGAGAACTTGCCCAGCATGAACCAGGTGAGCTGCACGTCTCCAGGGTAATGGTTCTTGCACCTTCAGAGCCACAGTATCGCTGAGCTTTTTTTTTCCCCAGGCTTTCCATCACCTCTCAAACAGACGAATGCTCCCCTTGGAGGCTGCTGTGCCCTGGGGAGCCTGGCAGGTGGCCCCGTTGGTGAGAGGAGGGCAGCAGGCAGGCAGCCCCCAGGAAAACACGGGAGTTTCAGTGGTTTCTGATGCCTGAGGAACGGGGAGATGGCGTGAGCTGAGCAGGAGTTAAGCACGGTCGTACAGAGGCCTGGCTGTTATGATTTAAGATGGCTTATTGAATATCTGTAGTTTCTATAGATATTTGTATATCTGTCCAAGTAGGATATAGAGCCTTGTGCAGGAGAAAAAGAACTCTTGATGTAAGATATGACCTGGGGGAGGCATCATGCCAGGCTATCCCTTCCAGATTTGGACGGCTTCAGTGTCTTGTGTGGCATGATGGGAAGTTCTGAAAATTAAGATTTCCTCTTTGGTGCGGGTCAGATGGGTGACGCCTGGCAGCTCGTGCACTGCCACTGTGCTAACCTGTGTGCCTCTCCTTCCCTCCCTGCTCCACAGGCAGCGCAACACGGGAGCAGCAGGGAGAGCTGGCTTTGTCCTGGAAGATCCAGGAGCTCGCGGTGGATATCTGAGCCTGCAGCTCCAGGCTGCCGCACGACGCAAGGGCTGCACACACCCAGAGCGTACAGGTACTGTCACAAACGTGGGCTGTCGTGGCTGAGCCCTCAGGAGCTGGCGGTGCCAGCTGGGAGAAGAACAGTAGCTTCCAGCCTTTTCTTTTGTCTGCGTTTCCCGTGTTCAGTCAGTCTGATTACTTCTGGGCATTGCCCAGCAGGGTGTGAAATGCTTCCAGGGCTAAAGGGGGAAAAAAAGGGAAACACAAACTATAATCCACACCTCAGGAGGGAGAAGGCATCTGTCAGGACAAACTCTTAAGAGAAATGGGATGAAGAATACTTGTTTATTCGGTCTTTGGTATGTGTAGCTAGTTCAAAGAGGTCTCCCAGTCCTTCCCATTAGCAGAGCAAAGGAAGAGCAGCAAAGCCCTCAGGCTAAGCCATTAAAAGCAGCAGCAGCAGCTTTGTGTGCTGGAGTGTGGCAGGCATTCCTAGGTTTACTTTTTGGTTTTGCATCTAGCAGTGGTAGAGGAAAGTTCTTTGCAAGGTGATAGTTCCAGCCTTGTATTGAAATGTGAGCAAAGAGGAACTTTCTCAGTTGGATTGGGGTTTATTCACAGCACTTGTAAACAGAGTTAACATTCAGATAACATGTGCAGGGAGTGTGTGCTGTGGGTTAGCACAAGTGACAAAGGAAGTGGGACAGGGACAGGGCACTTTCCCCTTCAAGGTACTGGTTTTTTTTCTGGAAGAATGACGTGAGAGCAGAAAAGTTGCAATGGCATTGCAGTTCCCTGCACAGAATATACCCAGGGAGGTGAAGCACAGCCCAGTGGTGCCATTCACCTGCGCCCCAATGGGGAGCATCAGTGAAGTGAGGAGGACTGAGGAGCTCTCCCCTTGAGCAATCACAACAGTCATGTCAACGAGTGTCACCCTTTTCCAGACCACTGGCATGTGCTTGGGGACAATAACCTGTGTTTTTTACAGCCAGGTCTTCTGAGCCGCTGCTCACTGCTCGCAGTGAAAAGAAACTTGTGTACAGGCACTCTGCAAAATTGCCACCTCAGATGCCACTGAAGCACAGCTTTGGCTTTCAGGCATCTCCCCTGCAAGCTGTCCCTTGCGGCGTTTCCGCACTGGGTTCATTGTAAATTCATTCCTCCCATTTTTTATTTGTAATTTCCAAAGAATATCAGTCGACTTTTACGGCCTCTTCAGGGCTCCCCAAGCTTCATACCACACCTAAATGCTCGTTTTCACTGCCTGAAGGGCTTCTCTCACCCGAGTGATTCTATGAATTTGGCCTGTACTTCAGCTTAAGGGGAAAGCTGTACATTGATTGCATTTTGGAGAAAAAGATTTGACTGTCCAGCTGTAAATTTATCTTGTGTTTTGCCTTCCAGGTTCGCTCGTATTGTAATTTGCAAATGGCACGGCAAATGCCACGAGAGCAGCTGGTGAAGGTGGCTCAGAAGCAATGACAAGAATGTGCTGCAAAGTTGGGTCCAGCAGTCCAGCTTCCCGACACGGTAGGGCAGGCACACCTTTTGATAAAGCATCAAACGCTGTAGTTTTTATTCTTGGTGTTTGTCTGTGCTCCCATTCTGATCACCCCTTGAAGTATTATTTTTCAAAATGATATCTAGGAGAGAAATCATGTTTATTCAGGGGGAGCCATAATTTTCATCTGTTCCAAATGCACCAGGTGTGTTTTAAGGCCTGCACACACAGCAAGAGCTGCAGAGCTTGTTGTGCAGTTTCCTGCAGCACTGATTCATTCTGTATTCCAGTAACCATGCCCTGGGCTGCCAGCCAGGCTCAATGCCAGGAGCGGGAGGAGTAGACCCGAGAGGTGCTTTGGGTGGAGCCCAGCCAGGTTTCAGGCAGCCCGCAGAGTCTGCCCTTGCAGTCCACGCCGGTCTGCTGTTGCCATCTGCTGGAAAAATCCCTAATGGATATTTCCAAAGGTGGGGAGGAGCATCCGCTCCTGTCACGGACCTGCTGGGGGCTCTTTGCCCTCTGGCTCCGTGCGCTCTGCCCAAGAACAGCGTGTGCAGCAGGCTGTCACCGCTCTCTGCAGGGTGAAGCACCTTCAGCCAAGGTCAGTGCAAGAGCAAAACAATCCTGCCAGTAAAGCCTGCTACTAGAGAGGCAAACAATGATCCTTCCAAAGGAATTCATCCTTCTTCTCCCTTACAACTCTCCTGTGTCATCACACCGCAGAATGGTTTGGGGTGGAAGAGATGTTGAAAACGACCTAGTTCCACCCCTGTCCTGGGCAGGCTCACCTTCCTCTGGGCCAGGGTGCTGTGCTGTCGCAGATCAGGTGGCAGATCTGTGGAAATTGTAATGATATTATTAAGGCGTGTCTCTTATTGCCTTGCCATTCGTGAATCCCGAGGCTGTCTTGTCCTAGTTTAGCTTTCTGATGTGGAGGAGCAGAACTGCCAACTGATATGGAATTTGGTGCTCTCTGTGGAGTGACATCCTGTAAAATTTCTGTCCCAGGAATGCTGTCACGATGGCTCTGCTCCATAGAGAATGACACGGCCTGATTGTCAGCAATTTTTGCTTCTGCAATAGTGTAAAAATGCTAAAATTTGAACACGGCTTATTATTTCAAAAGAGAATATTTTAAAACTGGAAGAGATAGCTGAAATTACACCTGAAAGGTAGCAAGAGCAAATACATAGAATATTTCTCCCTGTTTGTAGATATACTTTTCATTCAAAATTATGCTGATGGGGATATGCTTTTATGTATTTAGTGACTTTACAGATTTATTCCCCGAGTTTTTTGAGTTCATGGAATCATGGAATAATTCAGGTTGGAAGGGGCTCTAAAGATCACCTCGTTCCAAGCCTGGTGCCGTGGGCAAGGACATGGTTCCATGGACCAGGTTGCTCTGAGCCTGATCCCAGAGCACCAATGGGCCTTGGAACACTTCCAGGGATGGGGCAGCCCCAGCATGTGTGAGCAACCTGTGCCAGGCAGGTGCCAGAGGAAGAAGAAAGCCCTTCCCAGCTGGAGCAGAGGCTGCTGCAGCTTGGCGCAGCCTCGTGTCACCGAGCGTGTGAGACAAAAGGGCCCTTCCCGTGGAGGGAGAACGGCACTGAAAGATCTTTTTTGGGAGGAGCGGAGCCATGGAATGCCAAAGCAGCCTTCAGTTCTTGCAGCAGAGTTGGGAACAACTGGAAGCAGGAGCAGAGCTGGCCTGGTGCCTGGCAGCTCTGCAGGCAGTGGGGATGGAGAAGGTGCAGTTGTCTGTCTTCTTGGCTGAGTCTTGAAAAATGAGGCACTTTTCTGTAGTTCCTTTTCAAGCATTACGTGGCAGTTGCCCCTAGAAGTCCAAAGGCAGCTGTTTTCTTAGCAGGAAGAAGTCAGGAAGAGGCAAAGCAGGCAAAGACATCAGATAAGTCTGGATAAAAATCTTGGCTAAGCTGTTTTTTCCCCCTCCTCCAAACAGGCAATTCTGAAGCGCTGAGCAGAGATCTGCCCCCGGGAGGCAGAGCAGAGCCGCTCTGTGAGAGCTGACACGGGAGCTGTGGTGAGGACAGCTACTCCCCTGCCTCGGTGTGGGACCTGCTGAGCTGCCGTTCCTGTGCTGGGAGTGTTTCTCCTCTCATGCAGGCAAACCAGAGAGCTCCTAGGGAAGGAGCAGGTAAGGTTGAAGTGCCGAGATCTCCCCGGTAAGAAGTGCCGTGACAAAAGGAAATGGCCTCAAGTTGCAGCAGGGAAGGCTCAGATTGGCTTTGAGGACCAATTTGTTCACTGAAAGGGTGGTCAGGCATAGGAGCGGGCTGCCCAGGGCAGTCCTCATTGCTGGAGACATTTGAAGCATGGCAAGATGTGGTGTTTAGGGACCTGATTTGGGTGGGGGCTTGGCAGTGCTGGGGCAGCAGCTGGGCTCAATGGCCTTAGCAGGCTTTTGCAGCCTAAAGGATGCTATGGTTCTGGAAAGCCTCGACCCCTCTGGCTCCGACACCACACCTGGATGCTGACGGAAGGAGGCTGGTCATGGAGCCTGGAGGTGCCTGTGCCACAGGGAGGGAGAGGACAAGGCAGCGTCACCTGCAGGGAGGGTCTCGTCCCCAGAGAGCGGCCAGTGACTCCATCCGTGCCCGGGGCTCTGGGTGCACCCTCGGGGTGGACACCTGCCCTCAGGTTTCCCTCTGGGCACCCGGGGAGGGAACCGGGTCCATCCGTGTGGCAGCTCCAGGGCCTGCAGGCTCTGGGGCCCTGCAGCCGTGCGCCCTGTCACAGGGCGGCAGGGACGTGACGCTGCCCGGCCGCGCCGCTGGCCTGGGATCCTTGCTGCTTTCCTCCCGATCCCACATGGCTGTAGCAGCAATCTTGTGTCTTTTCTTTAAAAGTGTCCTTGGGAGAGTTCAAAGAGAGGGTAATTAGTTATGTCAAAGCCTACATATTTGACCTGTTGGCACTCAAGAGAAAAGACAAGAACCTGCTTGGCATCCTTGTGCCTGGAAGTCATTGTGACCCAGGGAAGTGAGGAAGGGGCTGGCCGAGGTCACTGAGGCTCTGAGATGGAGGTGAGTTTGCATTCCAGTTGATTGGAACGGAGGCTCATCAGAAGTTTCCTCGGCTATCCAAGGCACAGAGCCCTGGAGGCAAGTGAGCCTGAGCTGCTGCACGCTTGCTGTGAGCTTTGGGGTGAGGGTGCATCGTTGCAGGCCTGGGATGGATTGAAATGCGCTGAGGAAAGCAGCGGGAGGGAGGGAGGGAAATGCTCTGTTAGCTTGTGCCAATTCTTCTGTCAGACTCATCACGGCGGGACAGCGTGAAGACTGAAAGTGTGAGAAGATGTGGAGGGGAAGAGAGAATCTGACGGGAGCAGCGAACGCACGAGTGCACGAATTTTGCTTTTTGCTTGTGTTATGGTTTAAGGCCTGGCAAAGCCAAGGCCCCCATAAATATACCTTTTACCTGATATCTGCTGTGAGATGTGGCCAGGAAATAAGCAAAGCAGGCTCCAACTTAAACATAAAGAGAAGTTTATTAACTAAACTACACACACAATTACTAAACTACACACACAATTACTAACCTACACACACACAGGGAAAAAAACAAGGAGAATGAGAACTACACAGAAACACTTCCTTATCCTCCTCCCACCAAATTCCCAAACACATTTACATTTCCCAAAAAATTATCCACACTCGGTCTGGCACCACCCTTTGGAAAAAAAAATCAAATCTTCAGCTCATAAGGGATAGACGGAGTCCTTCCTTGTGCCACGGACTTCTTGTCACAATCAGCAATCCGCCCGGTATCTTGCTACCTCGTGACATCTCCTTTCCATGCCGAGGTGCTCTCACCACCTGGCATGGGATGGGGCAGGGGCCTGCCTTCAGGGCCTTTTAAGAATGCCTCGTCTCGTTCCAAGCAGAGTACAGTCACAATCCTGGGACCTCTGTCCCCCCCATGTCTTCTATACCCCCTGGGGCCGAGGGGTCTCAAAACCAAACTCTCTTGACGCCGAGCCTCCGCTTCCCCCTGCAATACAGCCTCTGCCTCACCAGGAAACAGTCCATGGAAATACAACAAAAAAGAGTCCAGCAAAAACTGCCACTCCATCTTCCTCCATTCCTTCAACATCTCTCTTCTCCCTTTGCCAGACCCTCCTTACTGGCCTAATTTTCTTCCTTCATCTTCCACTCCTGTCCCTTTCCCAGGAAAGGCAATGTTCTGCGAAGCCTTCATTCCCCAAAGGGTTAAAAGGTCTCCCAGGCGGCCGGACTGCCCGCTGCCCCCCCCCCCCTTTCTCCTCCCAGCCGTGCTGCCTGCCGGCACATGATATCAAGTTTCAAGATATACAGTTCGAGCACGGGCTGCATTCTCTGGGGGGGGAATAAACTGGTCGCTCAAGGGTCTGCCACCCTTCCTCCGAACCCGGGCCTACCGTAGATGGCCCACGTGGCTCTCCCCTCCCCCAGCCCAGCCAGAAACTGGGCCGGGGGAGAGACTTCTTCACGCCGGAAATCCCAAGAGGGCTCCGAAGGCCAAGAGCCCTGCTTTTAACCCCTTGAGTTCGTAGTCTCAAGAGGCGGATCCAAATGTCCCACTGGTCAAACTAAGTGCCCATCTTAAATTCCAATTACCCATTGGTAATCACAGCAAAACAAAATATCCCAGATGTCCCATTTCCGGTCAAACCACGACAGCTTGGATGTAAACTCAGGAGTTGAAAGGAATTTGGGAGTGAGAAGGGACATTTCAGAAGGAGAAGAAGAAAAAGAGGTTGTTGTTGTTGTTACAGTCCTGGCAAAATCTTTTGTTCTAGCTAATAAAAGAAGTTAGTTTAAGAAATAAAAAGAAAAAAATGTAGTGTTTTTTTTTTTTACTTGACTATTATATTCATTGGTGGTATATGGTGTGTTGTTTTATTTCTTGGTATTATTAACTCTGTGTAAATTGTTTTTTGAGTGAAGCTGACTTTCTGGATGGGTTGGTTTGTATTTGAGGCAGCATTAATTTCAATAGGATTGTTTCATAGATTTCTGATGGGTATTACTGGGATTTTGGTTTTGTTTGCTGTATGTATAAACATAGAGCTTTGGTAGGGCCAGCTGGGCTGCTGGAGTTTTGGGTGTGAATTTATGAGATGGCTTTTGTTAAATGCAGATTTTAATTTTTGAAATGTTTTTCAATGTAGTGGTTTTAAGGTGGTTTTTAAGAATTCATTGTTTTGTTTTCTGTTGTTTGTAGTTGGTGTATGATAAGGGATGTGGTGTGACTTCTTGAACGCTATGGTTTTAGTGTTCCTAAGTTCTGATTTCTTTCTGGTTCGATAGTTGTTTTTTTTTTTATTTTTTGGGACAGGGGCATTTATATGGTGGGTTTTTATAGGCAATACGTTTTTTAATTTAGGTAGTGATATTTTTTAGTATTTTAATAGTTTAGGTTTTTGATTTTCATGGTTTTAATTATTTTTTTTAATTTTTTCAAATAACTTTTCTAGATGATAGGTTATTATTTGTGCATTAGCATAAAGGTAGAGCTTTGGGGACTTTTTTTAGTAATGTTTAGGGTCAGTTGTACAGTTTTGAGTCTAGTGAGTTGGTTTGATTTAATTTTTACTGGGTGTTTGTTTTTATTAGCAGTTGTGTCATTTTCAAGGTGTATTTGAGTTTTTTGGGGTTTTTGAGATACTGGTTTAGGAGGAAGTTTATGATGAGAATGTGCGGAGGTTTTGGGCTACTTTATAGTGGGGTTTAATATTTATTGACAGTTAGGTTTATTTGAGTTTTTATTAGGGTTCAATGACGTTGTGGGACGTTTGTTCCGTTAGTAATAGCAATGGGTTTTGTTTTGATGTGCTGTGATGGGACGAGCGTGTGCTGCGTGCCGGTGCTGACAAAGGTACGGTATTGTTGTGGTTCTGGTGCGTGAGGTTAATGAACTTGTATGGTTTAATATAGAGATGAAAATAGAAATAAATATACATTTAAAAATAAATATAACATTAGAGTGGTAGACATAAATATAGATAACAGATACATACATAAAACTATAATGCGTGGTATATAATTGTAATATATTATCATATAGATTAATGATAGTCTGTTATATATATATATACACAAAGATATATAAATATAGATTATAAATATAAAAACATTTAAATAGAGTTAAAATAAATGGGGGGGTGTTATTAGGTTGTAGGCTGGGGTTTTTAAATAAATGATAGAAATAAAATATCAATTCAGATATACAAATATATTTATTTAAATTAAATATTTATAGAGATTTGTATTTGTATATATAAGTAAAAAAAATATAATACAGAAAATACATATCTATTATATTAGAAGGTATTCTCTCTAATATATATAATATCTATGAATATAATAAATAAAAATATCTATATAAATATCATTATAATTTTGAAAAATAAATTTACCTGCTACATTTTAAATCTGGTTCACATAAAGGGGTGTCCTTGGTTTTTATTTGGTTAGAGGCAGGAGTTTTATTTGAAATAATGTAAGTAATATAGAAATGTGGATCTTAAGATAGAAATATATAATAAATATATAAAGAGAAATTGCTAAAGTATTAATACAAATTTATATATAAATATATGGAAGTAATATGAAGAGTTGTAGTATAGAATATAAATAATATTATATGGCAATATAAATTATAAATGGGAATATAAATATAAAAATATGTAAATATAGCTTAAAAAAAAGGGAATGTTTTGGCTTTTATTTAAGTAGAGGCAGGGGGGTTTTTTTGAATATTGTAAGTGTTACAGAAGTAAAAATCTTGACGCAGAAATATATAATCAATGTATAAAAATATGTATAAAAATTCATAAATAACTACTCGCATCAGATGTAATATAGAATATAAATTTGTTTATAACTTGACATTGATAAGGATAAATGTATAAGTAAGCAATAGACATTAATATACATGATAAATACAAATATGAATATAAAAATCAGACATAAGGATAAAACCTATTTAAATATTGTTTAAATGAAAGGGTTGGGGTCTTTTTTATTATTGGGTTTGAGGCAGGGTTTTTATTTTAAATAATATGAATGTAGATATTATTGTTATATATTTCTAAATATTGAGATATACAATCAAGATCTAAATATATATATAAACACAAAATATTAGCAAATAGAAATAATAGGAAGAGATGTAATGGAGAATACAAATAAGAGTATACGTTAGTATACATTTTAAATGTAAATGTGAATATGAACCTGAAAAATAGAGTTTTAAAAAATATTTAAATACAGTTGAGAAGACTGGGGTTCTTTTTGGCTTTAATGTGGGTAGAGGCAGGGGTTTTATTTTAAATAATGTAAGTGTTGCAGATGTAAAAATCCTAACACAGAAAGATATAATAAATATATAAACATATGAATAAAAGTATATAAAAAATATAAGTAATAGGAACACATGTAACATAGAATATAAATTATAACTAAATCGCTAAATAGAAATGCAAAATCGATCATACATCAGTAAACATTTTAAATACAAATTTGAAAAATATTTTTTTTAAGATTTTTAATACAGTTGAAATGAAAGGGGGTTTTATTTGCCATGTATGGGGTAGAGGCAGGGGTTTTGAGTACTGTAAGTGTTACAGAAGTAAAAATCCGAACAGAAATATATACTTACTATGTAAAAATATGTATAAAAATATACAAATAAATTTAAGTTTTAGGGATATATGCAATATGGAATAGAAATGTATTCATAAAAACAAATGTATAAATGGACAGTATACATCAATATACATTATTGATAGAAATGTGAATATTAAAAGGAAAAAAACCTTTTTTTAAATTTTTAATTTTCTTTTTTTTAAGAAATTGTTGTGGTTTTGTTTTGTTTTTTTTTATCCTATTAGATTAGAGGCAGAAGTTTATTTTTCCTCTTCGCGGTTGTTTTGGGGCATTTATTTCAGAGCAGTTTTCGGCGGGGGCCGCCCCTGTTCTTTTTCGCCGCCTTCCCTGCCCGCAGCCCCGAGGCGCGCTGCGCCCCCGGCTGGGGCGTGCGGCAGTGCTGCCGCCTTGTGGGCAGAGCGCGGTACTGCAGCCCTGCACCGAGAAGCCGCCACCTTGGGAGTGGCGCATCGCGGATGTCGCGGACTTTTAATTGACCTTCTCATCATGGCGGCGAAAAGGGCGGGGAAGTGGAGGACCGGGGTTGGTCTAAGTGGACTGCCTGCATGGAATACCGACGCCGGCGCGGCCCCGGTGGTATTTTCTGTGGCATTTCAAGTGTACCCGATACGGGCCGCGGGCTCAGCGGCGCCGCGGGCGGGCGTATTTTGGCGGGTTTGTGCCAGGCATGTGGGTTAAACGCCTCGCTGTGCCGGGGTC